CTAAGAAAGGATAAGTGTCCAAGGATATCTAACAAGGAGAGCAACAAGGACTTAAACACGTTTTCCCATCCCAAACCCTGCTTTTATACTGAATGTATAGATTTTTTAAATTAATTTTCTCTGGTATTCTAGTGTTCAATGTTTCCAGTGATGGAATCTTTTAGAATACTACTTAGATTATGAAATCTAGATAATTTTATTTTTGTCCATACAAAATTGTTTTGCATCTTGCACATACAAAGTATTTTGTGGGATTTATTTATGGAAAAGATGTGGCTCGTATCCTCTATGAGATGGACATCTTTGCATACTCTGCAAGGCAGAGTAGAGGGACTTCCTTGGAGACTATCATCTGTGGAGTCAGGAAGGACAATGTAGCCAGGCTGGAAGGAAGAATGGGCTTTAGCTGGGGATGGAGGTCATTGGCCACTGTCAGGCATAGAGTTCTCCATTGCCCAGCACCTGTTTAGCAGGATTAGTAGAACCACAGGCTCCCAAAGAGTGGCCAGCCAAAGGAGCCAGTGGAGGGTCGGGGTTATAAGGCGACCATACTATGTCCATGAATCACTCACTCATTTCAACTCCCATTCCCCATCTTCAAAATAGCTTAAGACCCTAAAACCTTTGGCAAGTAATTGCCCTGGATAATGTGCCTTAAGGAGTTGAGTGCATTCCTTTCTTCCAAGAAGCTGATAATACTCCGTTATTATAGTTTTAAAACTAAATTATTCTCATTGCGTTGAAAGTATATAATACGATCCATCAAAGGTTTCAGAGTCTATTTTTTAATCACCTATGAAGAAAATAAAATAAAATACAAACTTCATTTTATAGGGAAATTGCTTAGGAAATCTTGGGAGACATATTTTATGTTCATAATATAAAAATATGAAAACAGTCCTATATTAGCTAAATAAAGGGGACAGAAAATGGCCAGATGAGAGGCATTCTAATGTCAGTCACTACATCATTGGGGAATTTATAAAGAACACCATTAATGTTTATTTCAGATTGAGGGATTTTGTATTATTGATGGATTTTTTTCAAAGAAAATTGTCCTAGTTTTATTTAATCTGTAGCCAGATTTGCGTGTGTGTGTGTGTGTGTGTGTGTGTGTGTATGCTGAATTTCTTGCCTGCCAGTGAAAAAACTATGTATAGGTTTTGCCCGATCACTAGAAAAATACCAATTAATAATAATAACCAAATTTTTTTAAATGTTCCTAGCTTACATCTGCTAGGGAGTACATTACATCCCTAATTTTTTCTAATTCTCAGTTTAACCCTATTAGGTATTTCATTTCTGTTTCAAAAACAGGGAGAGTGTAGCTAGGGAAGTAACTTACTCAAGGCAAGATAGCTACTAAATGGGAAATTTCCATATTAAGTCTGTGTTTTCTGTGGCTGAATTCTGTGCTCTTAACCGATTTGTTCGTAGCTTCTCTCCAGCATCACTTTGAGTAAATTATTCTGCGCTAGGTCAAGTGAAGAAAGAGAAGCCTCTTTTCAAATAATGTAGTTAGAGGGACTGGAAATAATTTGATGTTTTAGAATTCACTTAAAATGATAATAATAACAAACAGTTACCAAAAGTTCTTACGTACTAGGAACTAGTATACATATAGTTTCTATATACGAGGACTATAAAACGTATCACATATATTAATTCACTTATTCCTTGTAACAACTCTATGAAATATCACTATCCCTAAAATTATCTCTTTTTTATGAATGAGAAAACTGAGGACACTTGAGGTTACAAAAGCAGGTCCAAAGTCACCAAGCTAGGAAGTAGAGAGCTGGAAATTGCACTGAGGGACTATTTTCAAGCTTCATACTCTTGTGACTCCTTAACTAGGTGTTCAGGGGACAACAGTGAGGATTCAGTAAAGGAGCAGAAGTTACATAATTGGAAGCCTACTAGTGGACTCAAGCCTTTGAGTGCCATTAGGTTGGAAATGGGAAGACCTCCTTCCTATTCCATTCCATTGCCTCCATTTCACTTTGGCCAAGCCGTTGCCCAAAGGAAGAATGCAATTATTTCTGGATGTCATTAAGCAATTATATACGTTTTTTGAATACACAAGTCAGTGGATATTCTGAAAAGTGATACAGCAAGTAATGCCTAAAACAGCAAACAAATCCAAAGTGCCAACAATAAATACATGCAGCTTCCCCGTCTAGACTCAGACCTTTTGTATTGAAGGACTGGAAGTGAAAATGAGTGATAAACTGGTACAAGAAGGAAGCAACTGTGGGACAGGTGTGATGGAAGAGGCAAATGGCAGGAACCCACAGGCAGTGTGGTGTAGCAGAGGACAGGAGCCGAACTAGGTCAGTGTTTATCAAACATTAGTCAACCTTCACCTGCTACCTTCATTACTGGCTTAATTTCACGAAGCCAGTGCCTTGTTTTTAAGCTTAAGCATGATTGTAAGAACTATATATGCAATGACAAATTTAGTAACTATTTTTTTCTGATATACATACACATCCATACGTAGTTTATTACTACAGTACCTAAAATGACTTCATGTACTCTCAGCAGTTTAAGTACCACATTTTGGGACACTGAACTCTAGAATTAGGAGATGCCATGTAGAACTGAAGGAAAGCTCATGAAAGCTCATGAAATAAAGCCATATGTATCCAGTAGAGAGTCACATCAGAATGGGGTGAAAATAAGAGTTGAATGGTCTGGAGTAGCTAAAAGCCATAAAAACAAAGGGCAACTCTGTCCCCCACAGCGAGGGCCAGCGAGGGCATGATAGAAAGACTAGTACAGTAAACTACTGAAGAATAACCAGAGATTCAGTTTAGGGGCCCCAACTCAGATTAGAATCTGGAATCCATTGCAGAAGGAAAGCTCCCTTTATCCCCCAGGGGAGGTGTATGCCTTTTTCTTAACGAAACCTTCTTCCACACCTTTGTGAATGAAGCAAATATGGCCCTCTGCTTACTTTTTTCATTTTTTCTCAGATACTTTATTTGTTCCTTCGGAAATAGCAATACGGGCAGATTTTGATTACTATAGGGTCATCCTAATTCTGAAGAGTTGGGAGCATTCATCAGTGGTGATACATATATTATACATACATATATATATATATGCAATATAAACATTATATAGTGCAAGATTTAAAAAAAGAAAATGTGGAAGTCAAAGTCCATCAAGACTCTAAGATCATCTCTTCACTTAAAAGTATTTGACTGAGTTGCATATAGGTTCAGAATAACAGTAGCATTAACACAAAGAAGGACTTTTTAAAAGTTTAAAGTAGTATGAAATTGCCGATATTTGCTGTTTTTGAGAAGGCAATCGATATACATGCTATTTGCTTCACAAGTTAATGGTTTTTAGGTCAGAGGAGGGAGTGAGACCAGAGGGAAGAGGAAAACTCACATTTTGTTTCATATATGTCTGATTTTTTTTTCACAAGGGACAAAAGGGAAATATATTCATTCATGTATTATTTGGTTTTATAACACAAAATGATCACATCTAGCTTTGCACAAATCTAGCTTAGAAAGTATACATATCTAATTGATATTTTCTACAAGGGAAATTTACTTTAATTGGTATTTCCAATGTGATACACCAATTGGCATAGAGCTTGCGTTTTGCAGCACTCTTGGGCGGCTTCATTCCCTGTTATTGCTGAGAGTGATGGGGTCCTGCTGCAGGTGGCAATGTTGATCAACAGCGCTTGCCAGCTAGATGCCAGGGCAACATTAGCATGTGTCTTACTAAGGAAATCAGTTTCTCCTTTTTGTCTTCCTGAGGAGACTGAATTCACCTACTATGTGTCTGCAGCTATACTATGACAGAGCAATCAATCAACTCCTTGCTCACATACATATTCTTGCAAATTTATGTTTCTTTCATGGACAAGGAAAATCTATTTTTAGTTTGTAATCATAACAACTGCAGAGACAAAATTAGTTTAAAAAATGAATTTTCTTATTACAAACCTAGAGTTAGATGTAATATTTAAAAATAAATCAGGGATTAAGCCTAGGTATTGTGATGTAGGTATTCTCTGCAAGTATATTAGCTGTAAAGAAACATTCCTGTATTTTGACTTGAGGTTCTACTATGATAATCATTCTAACTCTCTGGACTACAAATTTATAAAATTATAAAACCAAGTAATGAAACACATGTAAAAAGTAATAGGTGTTATTATACATAATGAGGCTATTATCCCTATACAGTACTTTTTTTCCCCAGAACAAATGTATAAAGCATATTTATTCCTGCAAAGTAAGCAATGTTTAGGCAAACTGTAGGTAAAACCTCTTGCAAATTTACACATGATCAAGTAGTCTAAGGAGATGTTTGCAGGCATTTAGAGTAACAAGGGACATTTTTAAGGTTTTGGGGTAGGGAATGGGGACACTGTCAGCAGCTCAAGAGTAGGAATCCTCCAGATGACATTTGCATTCTCTGGGCTTTCAGATGGGCTAAGCAGGATTCATTCTTGTTGAGCTCTGCACTAGGGCAACACTATTATTAATTATGCAAACTTTTTTTTTGGATGGATAAGAGAATTTGAGAATGACTCAGCAAGAGATTTCAAAATCAAATGCCTCTACCTGCTGATAGAACATGTTCTTTTAAAAATCTGGGCATTAGGAGTTTAAGATCTATGGAAGGGAAGCTCCATTGTTGCAGTGACCTCTGAGAAAGACCCAGTTTTGTAAAGAACATTTGGTCAGTTCAGTTCCACGTAGCCTTGCTATACTTTAAGTTGAAAATAGTTGGTACTTTTTCAAGATTGGCTTCTTAGTTTTCTCTAACAAACATGAATAAAACCTAGTAAAATCTCCAAACCAAAGATGACTTTATCATCAAAGGGGTGTGTGTGTGTGTGTGTGTGTGTGTGTTTACCTTCATACATTCCTCTAGATAATAACTTGGATCCGGGGAATACTAGTCAAATAAGATGTAAGGCTTTTTTTTTTTTTTTTTTTTTTTTTACAAGTCCTTGCTAAAGTGACAGTTAAAGATTTAGTTGGAAAAGCAAAGCTCCCAATCACTAGTCCCTTCGAAGCTTGTTGGGGGAGAAGTCATCTCACCTATTTTGGAAACTACTTGCAGATGTGGGGAAACCTCGGAATTGCTCACAACAGGGGTTTTGCAGAGATTTCCTCTGATTTTTTCCCTCCCCAATTTCCCACAACCTGTGTTTGTCTTGAGTCTGCTCGGCTGACATGTGGTTTACCTCGCTGACCCTCCTGCCAGATTTTACACCCTCTCCTCTGAAGAAGTAAAACATTACTGAAGCCGAAGGATACAGAGCAACTCTGCTCACGGGCGCCAGAACTGTCACAGAAAATTTGCTTCCCGAGTATTCCATCCAACTTCCCTTCCTGCGCCCACGTGAGCCATAGCGCCAGCCCATCGGCAAGGTCTCAGCGTTTCCTGCTGCTGCAATCTGTAACTTGATTTTGGATTTTTTTTTTTTAATTGCAGTTCTGAGGATCTTAGTTCTTAGCAAAACTTTGTTGGTTAGGAGACTTTTACAGTAGTCTGTTTATTTTCTTACCAAAATCGTGAAGACTCGCACACTTTTCCTCCATTCCTGCCCTGCTCTAAGGTTAAACAGCAGCAAAGGAAAGAAATACACACTCGCTGTTTATTTGGGGGGAGGGGAAATATGGATTTGCAGCTAAGTTATCACGATCCTTCGCTCCACCCCCGGTCTGGCACTTTCAACTGACACGTACATCATCTATTAATTGTTGTTTACCGACTCAGATACATAATATATTCATTTTTATCTTTGGTAAAATATAAATGGAATTGTCAGCGCGCTCCTGTCTGTTTGTTTGTCTAAGGCTATCAAAAGAAGTCAAGAGAGGAGCCTGTGGCCCGGATCCTGACCCTGATTGTATGAATAAGTAAGCAGGATGCAAGTGATTGGGTTAGATGGTGCGAATATTTTTTTTTTCAAGTTAGGAAGAGGGTAAAAAGACAGGCTGGCGGGGGGAAGGCAAACAGTGCATCCCCAAATCCTCACACTTTTGCTCTCTTGCAGTCAGTTGCTTTGCTGGCTTCTGCAGGCTTTTAAGGTCTCGCGGCGTAGAAATGCCTGGCCCCCACCCCCTTCCTCGGTCTCCCCTTTCAATTCAGATGTGCTGATGTGCAGACCGGATTCATCTTCTCGGAGCGGCGGCGGCGGCTTTGGGCTCAGGCGGCGGCGGCTCGCGCTCGGCCGCGGAGTCCTGGCAGCAGCGGGGACGCGGCGCGGGAGCCCGAGCACTGGTGGCAGCTGAACCCGCGGGGCGCCGCTGGCCGAGCCGCGGCCGCGGGAAGTTCGGCAGCCAGAAGAACGATCTGGCAGGCTACAAGCGCCAGCGCCGCCAGAGCCGAGTTTGCCTGCGCCCTCCCCGCCTCCGAATGCCGAGTTCCTTACCTGCCCTCCGCCCACCCGCGGGCCCCTAGCCAACTTCTCCCTGCGACTGGGGGTAACAGGCAGTGCTTGCCCTCTCTACCGTCCCGGCGGCATCCACATGTCTCCGGACACCTGAGCACCCCGGTCCCGCCGAGGAGCCTCCCGGTAGGGAGAACAGCACCGGTGCCCCTAGCCCCGCACATCCCCGCGAACCGCGGCTGCCTAACCTCCAGGTCCCGTCCCCTCCTTTTCCTCCGGGGGAGGAGGATGGGGTTGGAAAAGCTTTCCCTGAGGATGCTCGTGTGGCTGGTGGCCTCGGGGATTGTTTTCTACGGGGAGCTATGGGTCTGCGCTGGCCTCGATTATGATTACACTTTTGATGGGAACGAAGAGGATAAAACAGAGACTATAGATTACAAGGACCCGTGTAAAGCCGGTAAGTGGCTCTCCAGGTTGGGATGGTGGCGCGCCGGGGGCCGCTGCGCTGGGTTTCCGATGGGTGGCGGTGGGAGCTCACCTGTTTCCTTCCCTCCCGCGTCAGCCCCTCCGCCGCCCCTCCTTCTCTCCCCCTCCTTTCTCTTCCCTTCCCCACCCGCAAGTGGCAGCCGCTGCGGCCCCAGTTGACGAGAGTTCTATGCTAGTGGGATCCGCTGCCAAGCTCCCATCTCCCAGTTTGGGAATAACGTCCTGGAGTTTCTGATCCCTGTCTGCTCCCCCACCGAAATGAAACAAGTCGTAAATATAGCTGGCTGCTGTAGGTTTTAAATTCCAACACTCAGCGGGCTTTATGCATCTGGAAGGGACACCGCCTTCTTCCCCCCGCCCCCGACCAGGGCGCGGTTTCCCAGCGCTCGTTCGAGACCGAGTGGGCAGGGTTCCCCCAAAAGATACGGGAGGATGGCATTGCTACCTCCAGACACCTTGGCTCCCTCTTTTACCAGAAATTTCAAGTGTGGATTCCAGGCTAGAAGGGGATTGTGACAATCTCGGAAGAACTCACTTCTAGACGGGATTCTGATGCATTTGCCCATTTAAAATAAACTGAAAAAAAAAAAAATGTTTTTAAGTTGCTACCCCATTCAAACTTGTGTCTTCCTTCCTGCTGACACCCCAGGGAAATGCAGTCGGACCAGCACTGCCTGAAGCTCAGCTTCTCGCGTCGCAGGGTTCCTGAATGTCCCAGGTCCTTCCCCTCCCTTCTACGCCTCTGGCGCCGCTGCCAGCCTCTCTCGCGCGCGGGGCGGCGCTTCCCTCTCGCCGCCTAAGGTCGGAGACGCACGTGCCCGGGGCCGCTACCACGTGAGCGCAGCCCCCGGGGGCGCCCAGCACTGGCGGAGGCTCCTGTCCGGGCTCCGTGAACTCCTGGTTCCTTGCTGTATTGGGCTGTGGCTGAGGTGATCCGCGCTCAGTGTGGACGCACGAATAACTTCGTAAAGGTTGCACGGTGGTTGGGGCTAACCTAGTGCAGCGGTTTGTAAGCGGAAGGCACGTTGGGTTCCATCCCAAGAGGTGTGGGCTTTAGCGAAGCGTAGAGGGAGGGAGTGGACAAAGTCAAATATACCTAGGGTTCTCCATATTCCGTGCGGGGTTGCTCTGTGACTGGGTTTTCTTCCCTTCCATAACTAGATAAGCATTATTCATCCTCTCTTGGGCCTGGAGGAAGGAGAGGTGTACACAATGAAGAACAATGCTGGAAATTCCCTAGTTAATTTTTACCTTTGATGACACATTGTTCTGACAAAAAGGGTATGTGTGTTCTGTTCACATTATCACGTCTTTCTCGGTGCACCCTTAAGTGCAGATACTTATTTAAAACTCAGAGTAGCTTAGCAGGAGCCTGTCAGGCTGGAACTCAGAATTCTGATTTAATTCGGTTTTGCTGATCAGTTCCCTGCTGTCACTTTTAATAACTGTATCTATTTTCCCACTGAAAGTTTCTTGGGCCACCCGGGATGGTTTGGACAAGGAGATGCTGATTGCTGTGGTGGGTGACCAGTGGCTGGGCATTCAGAATCTGCTCTCTGCAACTCCTTAAATGTACTTTTTGCTAAGAAATTTCTTTTGAATAATGTTGTAACTTGCTGAAAATTGTGCATTTTCTTGTTTATGGTAGGGTAGAAATGAAGTACATTATTTCAACAGATTGTGTAGGAAAACATCTACTTTGATACCTTGTTGTGTGAAAGATTCAAGCAGATAAGTGTTTGCACCATGTGTATTGAAACACACCTCGGACATTAATGTTTAGTTTCTTTAGCAAATAAACATCTAGGTAAAAAAAAAAAAAAAAAAAAAAAAAAGAAGAAACACTTTAAAAGCATTTACTTTTTGTTTCCCCTTTGATGCTGGTTTATTTTTGAATAAAGCTGCTGAAAGTAAAGCAACAACAAAACCAACGTTGAATGGATGATTACCCTAATCTTATTTCTTCTCTGTTTTTGAGAAGAGGCATACCAGTACACACCTGTGTGTGTGTTCACACGCATGCATGTGTGTGTGTAATGAGAGAGAAATAAGAATGGCTTAAGTGGAGGGCTGAGAAGTATGCACAGAATATGAGTCCCTTTTAAAATTACCACCCTGCTTTTGAATTTAGGCTTCAATTTACCGTCTTGGCTAAAGACGGGCAAAATTTTAGTGCCTCCTTTCTAGCACTGGGAAAGTCAAATCAAAGTTCCAATAACAGGAAAAAAAATGAAATAATACATTGAAATCCCAAGCAAGAGTCAAAAAAAGAAAAAAAAAAGAAAAGAAAAAAGGTCACTGAGATAAGGAAGATGGGGACAGGTCTGTGAAAGAAAGCCATGCAAAAGCAAAAGAGAAGGTACTTTCCAGACACTTGGGGCACCTTTGATCTGCCCTTTCCAAATAACAGATTGGAGAGCATGGCCCATGAAATAAAGGGGCCTTTCTGAGCTTCTCTAACAGGGTCTTCATATTCCTTAAAATACACGGTGGCTTGGGATCACAATGACAATCATGGCTTTGTGGTTTTAAAGCACTTTTGAGTGCTGGTGTTCGCAACAGCTCAATATGGTAGAGTTTGTTACTATTCCCATTTTACACATAGGAAAACAGAGACCCAGTGAGGTTACATGTCTTTTTTAGGATTACTCAGAACTCGATTCCGAGTTTCCTGGTTGCAAAGTCTGGCTGTATTTGACAATTACACTACATTCTTTGTGGGCCTTTTGGAGGCGTTCATTGAGAAGATAATAGGAATTAGTCCAGGTTTACCAGGAATCCAGACTAACAGAGATGCAATTACTTGCATATCAGATATAGGTGAAGTGAGGAACATAGCTTCAGATTTTCGAAACTCAAATCCTTGAGGACAGAAATCAGAACTGGTTTTTAATGTTTATCACAGGAATGGATTACTACTGTTAGGAATTTAATATGTTCTCAATACCTTCTTGATATCTATAGACTGGTTGATACTACCATTTACAAACTTCTTTTCTAAACAAGATCAAATGTGTGTTACCCAATGAGATTTGCTTCTCAATTACAACTTTAAAAATTGTGCTATCCTCAACACATTTGTGAAATAGAATGCAATTTGTTTACCTATCAGAACTCTGATTTCAAGTTCATGAAACGATAGGGTAGAAAGGAATCCTTGTGTTAATTTGATAGAATGTTTACTCAGAAAGATATTATAGGTATAAGTGATAGTAGGTAAATATACCCGCACAACTGCGGATATATTTATGTAGCCAAATCCATTAGGATAAAATATAGGTATTTTATTTCTCTATATGAGTAGATATACACAAAGATACAGATAATTCAAAAGAATGTCTGGCTGTCTTTCATCAGTGCAGTACACAATCACCTGAATATGTAATCACATTGCTCTTACTCTCTAGGTCAGGAAGGTCCCAAGGGACATTGGGAAGCTGATGCTGCAGGCGCTCATTCCAGAGCAGAGACTGAGGTGTCCTGTTTCATTGTCGTACTATAGAAATAAGTGTTAATCTGAGTATTAATATCTGTGAAGAGCCTGGGCAAATTTAGTTTGTAAGTTAATCTTCTGCCAAGTATGTGTACAGATTACATGCAAAAGCAGATACCTGATGAAGTAACTGTGTATTAGCACATACCCTTCCTTCTCTTTTCTCCTTCTCTTCTTCCCTCCCTTCCATTCCTTGCTTTTTTCCTCCCTTCCCTTCTTCCCCTTCTTCTTTCTTTCTTTCCATCTTTTTTTAATCTATATTTAAGAGAATATTAGGAAAGCTCAGGCAACTGCAAATAGAATATCTAATAGGAGAAATTGAAGAAATTAGTGTTTTGAATCTTGGGTAGAGGCATATAGAATTGGTGGAGTAAGATGTGTATGCAGAATGATATCCTTACTCTCTGTAGACATTTGTGAACACCTTGACAAAAGATTTTCTACCTAGAAGCACCTGAGTAAATAACTCCTAATTTTGGAAAAAAACAAAAAACCCCAAGCATGATTAAAGGTCAGTGCCTTGCAAGGTGAAATTTGCCTGTAGAGGAGCATCTGCAAGCCTGTCTATATAGAAATAGGCTTTTGGTGTTTTAGAAAACTCTTTTTGCTTTTCTTTATAGTCGGTGCTCTGGTGTACTAGTATGCTAGGCCTTGTGATAATTTTCCTTATTTTATAATTTCTAGGTAACATTGCCTCATTCTTTTGGCCCTCAGTGTTGTACTTTCTAGCTGAACTGGCCATTTTTGAATTTGATGTCCTATTCCATATCTTTATTCCATCATAGTTTTAGATGTCCAAACATTTATTTCTTAGTCGATGCCTCTCTAGACTGCTGCACTCTCATTTACAAATGTGTTTCATAGAGCTGCCTCACCTAATCAGTTTCTTCTGTTTTAGTTTTCATTCCTCAGATCTTGATTTTTTTTTTCCTCTTCTTGCTTTGGGTGCCAACTCAGAAGTGGCCAAAATACGCTGTTTGCAAAAGGGATGGATAAGGCATTATATTCTGTACATTTGAATTCTGCTCCTCTTTTGTCAACAGTAATTCCTTAGTCCTTGTCTTGAGGGCCTACATCCACATTTGGTCCACAATGGCAGTTACTGTTATTAGGTATGAAAAAGATTTTTTTTTTTTTCTTAAATATATTCCCTCAGACTGAGTGAGGTCAAAAGCTCTTCTTTTCCATCCTTTTTGTTTGTTTACATAGTCTCCTGAGATCCTCCCACGTTTTGCTTCTGGATAGTTTCATTCACAAATTCAAAACCTAAGTGGAACCCCTTCTCTTAGCTAGTTGGTGTAATAATGCATAGAATTCTTATTTCAAGTAGGTGCCCAGTCAACCCTACTTGACTCAATGTAGGCCTCCTTAGATCAAGGTGAAACAGTCCATATGGAAAAGTTAACATAAAATTCCACAGCTTTCCCTCTTACCCTGATCATGGCTTCCTTTTTCTTCTCCTCCTCTTCCTCCTCCTC